CTCTCTCTCTCTCTCTCTCTCTCTCTCTCTCTCTCTCTCTCTCTCTCTCTCTCTCTCTCTTTCTCTGTCTCTCAAGCCTTGAAGTTCAGAAAGATGGAATGTTAGCCCATAAGTATCTCTTTTTCCTAAAATTCATGTCCTTTTCCCCCCCCTCCGTGTGTGTGTGCGTGCGTGTGTGTATGTATGTGTATCAAAGACCCTGTCTTGAAAAACCAAGAAAAAAAGTTAATGTGAGAAAATATAGGGAAAACTCAAATATGTTTTGGATTTTTAAAACACCACTTGTGAATTTGATAAGTGAATTTGAGAACAAAAACATATTGTGGCGGAGGGGAGATGAATACAATTAAAACATGAAACTCTCAAAGAACATGTCAGTGCCTGTGTGTGTGTCATATACAATTTGGTTTGATCATAAAAAGTTAAACTTTGACCAGTGTTTACAGACATAAAGTTATAAATAACTTTTAAAAAATGTTTGTTGATTTGTTTTTTCGAGACAGGGTTTCTCTGTGTAGCTCTGGCTGTCCTGAGAACCACTCTGTAGACAAAGCTGGCCTCAAATTCAGAGCCTCACCTTCCTTCCCAAGTCATAGGATTTAAGTTGTCACCATCAAGCCTGTATACATTTTTTAAAATGTATAAATAAGAAAAAAATGTGTTCTTGGGAAAGTGAGCTATTTTCAACTCTACACAATTGTATCAGTTCATTGTTGGGAACAGTTTGTATTCAAGCACCCTTTCAAATACCTTAACATTTTGCAATTGCTTAAATTTATCTTACACACATATTATAACTTTTAAGAACTAGGTTTGTTTGTTTGTTTAAAACTGTATGTGTGTATGTGTTTGAGCGTGCATACCATGAGTGTATGAGTGCCTATGGAGGGCAGAAGAAGGCCACCCAACAACTATTTAATTAAGCTTCCTCTACATCTGTTTGGTTTAAGGATATAGTCATGACAAATCCAAAGCCTTCCATATGTATGTAAGGGATTATGTGTACACACAGGTATTGATTTACTCCGGAACCACCTGGGCATGAAGTGCTGACAGCTGACGCCTTTCCCCTCCACGGTTCCTTGTATCACCGCAGAACTACAGCATTCCCTTATGCAGACATGGGAATTAGTACACTTACTAATTTTTCTCTCCACCTTATATTTTTAGACAAGGTCTTTTTTGAACATGGGGCTCAGCAACTCCTCTAGACTAGCTGACAGTGGGCTAGAGTTCTGTCTTTTTCCTAGCACTGGGATTATGGGCATGGGCTGCCGCTCGTGGCTCTTCTAGTGTGGACCCTGGAGCAAACGCGGGTCCTCATGCATGGCAAAGCACCTCA